CACCATTCAAAACCATAAAAATATTCACAGCAGCCAAAAATTTAAATACCTAACAGTGTATTTAAAAATGAACACACACACACACACACACACACTCCTCCCCCTCCTAAGAAGCTGTTTTAGCCTTGTGTTTTGCAGGCTGTTTAAAATGTCATTTTTCTCTCGTTGCTTCGACTTCAAAGGCGCCTCACTGAGCTCTCACTCCCTCTTGCCAAATCCTCCAAACGTTTCTGATTTAGTGAGCTGGCCACAGGCCGAGCAGCACCGGGACGGGCCCGTCAACAGCGGGCCGTTGGGTGGAGGTGGGGAGGGGGACAGGCAAGAAAAGAGCAGGGAGAAACAAACAAGGATGTGTGGAGAACAAGGGGGTTGCAGACTGAAACTGAGACAGAAATAGGAGAAGTGCTGAGAGAGGCAGGCCTGCAACAACACAGGGAGGCAAAGGGGAGATGGATATGAGAGAGGTGTGGAGATCGATTGAGAGGAGAAAAGAGAGCAGAGATGAGCAGGGAGGAACATGTTAGGAGGAGGGGGAGGAGGAGGAAGGCTGGAGCACCACTCGAAAAGCTGAGAGGAGCGAATGCTCTGGTGAGAGGGGAAGTGAAAAAGGAAAGCAGAAGGGGAGAGGAGGAGCAGGAGGAGGAGGAGGAGGAGGGGAGGAGCCTGTGGGATCAGGGTGATGGGGGTGTCTGACCAGAGAGGGAACAGGAGGAAGAGGAAGAACGAGGAAGAGAAAAGACCACATGGACACAGGAAGTCTGGTGCTTTCCATTTACATGCCAAGTCATCAGATGGCAGTGTGTGTTCACACCCCAGAGATGTCGCAACCAAACGCACCCTTCAAATCACGGCTACCAACAATAAGCAGCTGTTCTTTGCTCGGATGGGAGCTGGAGACGAGACAAAAGTCTTTCTGTCGCAGCGGCGCATGTGCTTCTTCTCCCAAGCCCAACATCAAAGACGTCTCCACATGATATATGACGTTTCTTTATTATTCCGTCTTCATGTGACCCTTTGAGACGACTCAGACCCAGGCCACATCAGTGGCTCTGAGGTTAGTTTGATTAGCCACAGCCAAACATTCAGGAATATATTCAAATGATGTGCCACGGCTTGCTGGAACTATCAAAGCGTGCACAAGAGTCTCATTTGTAATGGAAATGCATTTCATAAAACTTCACTGGCCTTTCTTTTTTTAATGACTTAATGTCTTTAATGGGTCAACACATTCCAGTCAGTCTCATTTAACGGATTTCTTTTGGGACTTGCTGCATTTTTTATTCACAATTTCTGTCAAATGGCTTTATTTTAATGCAGAGAGATAAAAAAGGTGACTTTTTAAAATAAATTGCCATT